ACACTTTTTAGCGCGGACCCGACGTCCATATAATTGTAAGTCAATGGCGGTTTCATTATTATTATGCTTATTTATAATTATGAGCCAAATTATTATGCGTCTCGCTAAAATTATTATACTTTCTAATCATTATCTATCTAATTTTACAAGATACTTATACACAGATCTTAACAATGGGTTAATTGGATAGGGAAAGTGATTTCAAAATTGGCTGATAGTTCATAGAAACAGTGGTTTAAACGATGTAGTTAAAGTGGTGTAAACGGCAATATTGAGCCAGTTTTTCAGTACAAATAAGCCGCCACCCGTTTTATATCTTATATTGTGCGAAACAAGATTGACTTTTGAGAATTATAAATAAATATGTGGAAAAAACTTCTTGAGAATTGTAAGTAATGCTATTTGTATTTATATATTTCTCGAGCAGTTTTTTAAAATTAAATCTTGCATTTAATTAATGATATAACATGTACAAAATACATTATAATAATGTTATGACGAAAATTTTGAAATTTATTTTCGAAATTTATTACACTTAAGACTAATTTATTTCGTTTTTTATTAATAAGTCGCATAATTAAGTTTATTTATTTATTGCCTAAGAGTTCAAAATGATTATTTAATATTGGCCATAAGTCTGTAAGTATTTATTTGTGTGGTTGTGTACAAAATTGATAACTTTTTTTTAAATAAATTATTTTTCATAATAATTTTATTATTCATTCGCATAATAACCTTACGACAATACAGGTAACTTCGAGACTCGATAGGTAATTGTTGTCGTTATCTGGAGCATGATTATAATAAAATTCTATTTTCCTAATCGGTTAAGTAAATAAAGGTCAATTATAGTAACAATAAAACCCAAAAACATTTTATAAAACCAAAAATATATTTCTCCATAGTACATTTACATACATATCAACACGAACAGCATAAGGTAGACAACAGGCACTAAAAACAATTATATCGATCCTTGTCAATTAGAAAAAGAGGTCACGAGGCCGTGGCCTCCTTTTAAAAACTACCATTGAAGATATATCAAATGGATATAAAAAGTGATATATAAGTTACGAAGTTTCTTTGAACCTGGAAAAGGTGGCACTATTATAGACAAGAGAGAGAGATAAATATACATGCAAGCGTCTTTATTGATTGTAATGAATATTATGACGTTTCACTATCATGATATTCATTTTATTTTTTGTGAAATTACTGCAGGGTTGTTGCAGAATGCAAGATTTTTTTTTTAAAAAAAAAGCGCAAGTAATGTACGTCCTTACTGAATCTAATCTACATGAAAAAACTTTATATTTTCTTTGGTATTGTATTAAAATGTTATTTTTGTGACAATTATTTACAATCTTCATAAAAACAATCTGCCTAGCTTAGTCGTTGTGGAATTTTATCAAAGTTATATGTAAAAAACAACAGATGGTTTTTCGGCTTACAGTCTGTTTCTGAAAGGTTTGTAAATTATTCCAACGCGCCTTTTAAGGTAAGTCACAACACGAACATCCGCAATTAATATCAGATATTTGAATTTATGTCCATTATATTACTATCCATTTGTTTGATATATTTATTAATACAAACATCGAACACCTTTTGAGACACGAACCTGCGTTTGTCAGGGCGACAGCTTTGCCAACTGAGTTACAGATTGAGTCAGGAGACCTTACAAATACTATGCATTTGTCTGTAATTTTTTTTTGTTGTAACGAATTTTGTGGAAAATATTTAAGAAAGAAAAAAGATACGGCTTTGAAAGATTAAAAAAAATAAATTGCAAACAGATTCATCTTGTATGCAAATTTTTAGTATTACTTAGTTTTAAAAATTAAATAATATCTCCACGAAGAAAAATAACGTATCTGCAATAGCTATGGGACTCTTGTATACCGCTTCCTGTGTACTTGGTTAACAAAAATCTATGGTTTCTATTTATGATATTTTGAAATAAATATTGTAAATGAGAACAAATGTTTATTTACAAAGGGCAACTTTCACAACAATTTGAAGGCATCCCTATATAGCCTTCAAATTACTTAGTGACTGCAAAAGTGCGCGCGCGTGTCACGACAGTGCCGCTGCAACTGCACTTCTATCATATCTAGATATTGCATGAAAATTTACGTCTAATTTAAAGACGAAGAAGTAGTAATTATTAATCAATCAATTTCAAGTGTAATTTACAACAAAAATAATTTGAATTAGCCAAAACTTGCAGAGTATTTTTTCTTTCTTTTATTAAGGCGCTATACGAGCAGTGTTATTGCGAGATAATTCGCGTGATGTCATTTTTGAGATCAAATTGACAGCTCGTGTCAATACCTGCAAGTTAATTCTGACAAAGGAATGTCGGAAAGCTCGATCATCTCCCAACACTTACGGCATTTATAATTTATCATTATAAATATTAAATTTTACAAAATGTTAAATAAAAATAATTTCGTTTTTTAATTAAAACTTTTTTTTAAATTACTTTCTATGTTTATTTATTAACTGTAATATGTCGACTTGAATGACTTTAATCCAAAGTTATGAACAAATAAAAATTTTGACGTTTGTCATTGACAACGTTCGGAAATAGTCGTTGTATCAAAATTTTCCCGCCGTTCAAGTTCAAGTCAGTCTAGTTAGATTTAAAAAATTTGTAACTGCAAAATAAATTTTCGAAAAGATATCGTGTAACGTGATAGGAATCGAAAAGACGTCATTATAATCCATTTGATATATCCTCCGTGATCTAAAACCCTTTGGGGGGGCTACTATAATACAGAATAGCTTTTACACGTGTCCATAAATAATCTTCAAAGCTCTGGTTTCCTAACGAAGTGGTGACGTCATTTCATATAACTTGGTTTCCTAGAGATCGTCACCGTGACTCAATTTACATTCCTAAGGAACAGACTAGACGACCACGATGGCCCAATGGGTTATAATGTAGGCGCTGAATGAGGAGGTCCCGGATTCGATTCCCGGTAGGACCAAAGTTGGAAATTGAACTTTTGTAAATTGGTTTTGGTCTGCAATTCCGTTACTCTAGCACTTATAGTACATACAGGAAATTCCGTAGTTTGAGACCCAATCCCGTAATTTTTTTGAAACCACTAGTCATTGCATCGAGTATATAACCAGAAATAGAGACTAAATAGGGGCCACTCGTCATGGCAACTTATCAGGCAAATGGGCCTTATATCACTTTTAAATATCAACTCTCGTATGCGCTAAAATCACAAATTAGAAAGCTCAAATAGTACAGAGCCAACAACTGACCAGTGTGTACTCCTTATATTCCACAAATATCCTGTATTTATTGTAATAAAGATAATATCTCTAACAATGGGCCCTCCATGTTCCGTTCGGTGGTGTGGGGAAAAACAACAAAACATCTAATTACATAGCAAACGGAATCACATTTCATCGGTAATTAAATACGTAATTTCGCATCCATTATCGCAAAGCTCAAGGTAAACTGGTCGGTTTGAGGCGAAACAAGTCACCGTAATGATTTGGCAGAATAGTTTTCAAACAAATTAAATGACATTTCGTCACTATTCCTGGTTATATACTCGATGGGTCATTGTAATGATGAGACTATATTGTAGTTATTACAATATTTGTTATTCTTCTAAAATCTGTCAGTGGAATGGCAGTGATGACATTCGTTCATTTCGTCACATGCCTTACTAAAGATACCATGAAAATTATTACTAAATATTTAGTCTTGTTTAATCAGCAATTTAGTCTTCAAATTAGATACTATAATATCAGTAGATTGCCTGCCATCCAATCGCTTTGAATAGCAGGATACTAGAAAAATGCAATTTCAAACAACTATTTTGAGGACTTCAAAAATACAAGGAGTACAAAGTCGCGTTGTTTATAAAAAATCCCCTTTATACAATTAATGAGTATTTCGAATTGTTTTCTTGATTTTGATCCACAAAATTAAGTGGCAAACAGAATTGATATATCGACTATGAACTGGCAACCGGTACTATCTTCATTTTGACAACTTAACACGATGAAGAAAAAATTGTTTGCGTCATTAATATAGCATCTGGTTTATTAAATAAAAATACGCAGTGTATGTGTAGTAAAAATATAAATACGTAATTTTTACTACGTATTTTTATTTGATAAATCAGATGCTATATAAAGGATGATTTGATGTAAATTGTGTAAACACTAAATTGTAAGTAGATTTCTTTGACATAGATATTGTTTAATTTAAACAATTAAGTGACTTTTTTTAGAGGTTAAGTTCTGGAGTGTTTTAAAAGATCCAAAAATTGTACCTTGTCGTACTAAATGTTGCGTGATGGGACTTGGTGAATAAATATTATTATTATTATTATTAAAATTAGCAGACTTGCGAATCAAGCAATTGGTGTGATTGTCCGGAAACTGTACACAGCGTAATTACTTTTGTCAATTGTGCAATGCACAAACTAGATACGATATGGTAGATGCTTGAATTCTCGAGAAGACGCACGAGCTGTTTTTTGACCAATATCTAGTTTGTACTTTAAACAATTGACATAGACTTTTCTACGCTATGGTAGCGGTGCCGGCCATCCTTTAGTGACGTCATTGAACGTGATTTAGCACCGCTATGGAAGGAAACCAGAACGTTAAAGAGGTTATAATCGCCCCCTGACACACCAGGATATTTATTATACTCCGTCCAACCTTTTATTTCACTTTTGACAGCTCGAATTCTAATTAGTGATGCCCTAATGAATTTCCGATTCCATTTTTTATGACAATCGATTAAGTCGTGAATGTGAGTGGCTTCAAAAAAGAAGATATTGTCTGATTGGGATCGTGGTGTTGCGTTTGACAATTTGTGTACTCAATAATTAATGTTAATAAGGATTCCAGTGATGATTCTCGTTCATTTATCAAGTTGCACAATCTTCGTTACATAATCTGTTTCTGACTCGATAAATATCGGAGCTAAAGAGCACGTCGCTTCACTAAAATTAAAAAAGAAAAGGAAGTATTGCATAAACGGTTGGACGGAGTATACGTGAATGAATTGTAGAGAAATCGAGATTCCATTTAATAAGGCCTGTGTTCTACGGTGTACTATAACCGACTGATATCATTATTATAAAGGCCCAATAAAAATTCACAACATTGAACATACTAGCCGAATAATACTTTGTTTAGTTCCCCCCCAATATACAGGAAGGCGATTTTCCCCTTTCCCTAATTACAAACCTAGGCCCCCCCTTAGGGCAAATACGCACTATACATAGACATTCTTGTTAATCAAAATAGTCACAATCTAGGTAACTCAATAAAGGGGCGAACACCCCCTTAAAGTTTACATATCACTCTTTAGGGGCGAGTTTTGGGCAAGCATTTTGTTCTTAATTATATAATCTTCAATTCGTGGTTAAAAGTAAAATTTTATAAAAAGAAAGAAAGAGAATCTCCCATAAAGGCCAACATATTTAAAAAGCCTAAAGGTAGACAAAAAAAATGAAACTCGTATTTATATCTTTGTTTCAAGAGGAACATCTCAATCTTCAAAAACTGATCACTGTTTTTATATTTTATGGCCTTCTCTAAAAAACAATCTAATGTAGAAGGCATGGAACATGGAGCCCTATGTTCTGTTGTGTACCGATGCCGATAATACAAAGAAATATGGTCAAACCGATTTAGTTTGCCTGCAGACTCTGATCACATTATATATATAAAAAAAAAAGATTAATTAGATTTTTACGGAATCAAATTTTACACAATTAAAAAAAAATGCCGCCAAATCACCCTTTAAAAGTCGTTCTTTTTTAAATTACATTAAAAATGGACAATGCTTGTCCAAGCGTCATTACTTATTGCCACGTATTTTCCAAGAAACTTACCTCTCTCCAAAGTTAGTCTTAAAATTCAAAATTGACAGTCTAAATGTCAAGTTTCGAATAGGAGATTTGTCAAGGCAGTAGGAGAGTGTCAAATGTAGTAAACTTTTAAACTCCATACCACTCATTACACAGCGAGCGGCAGGATGGTTTGCCATAGCAACATTTAAAGAGCTTTCAAGTTATGCCCTTTATGTGTTAGAGCAAAACTTTGACATGCAATTTTGTCACATACTTGGGGACCTTCCACTAATAAGGGCTATGGAGTTATATTACATAATTAATAACATCGATAGCTTTTTAGAGATGGTTTAAAAAGAAGGCCGACCTCAACTCACAACAAAAAAAATACCACACTCTGAAATGCAGGAATTATTGCATTGTGTTTTGTTCTATGTTTTTTATGTCTATTTAGAAAAAAAAAAACTAATAATAAGAAAATTACAAGTAACTTTTTTCAATTTCTTGATTTTGACTTTTCATTCCATGGGATGTCAGAGAGAGTTATTATCGACTCTGGGTGTTTTATACGATGTGATATCAGTTATGTAATACAACCCTTAGAAATGTATTCAAAGTACTTGATTTAATTGCTAAGTCACAGTGAAAACGATTTAAAATTGTCCTCCTTTACAGAGAAGGTAGCCGTCGAATAATGTTAATACTAGAGAGGGAAATCACCCCTAACTGAGGAGGTAATTAGGTCTTAATTCTCTTATAAAGGCGAGATACGTTTTTAGATTAAATATTGCATCCCCCGTGATTAATATTAAATTAATTAAATTAATTAACGTGGTGAATATTTGGGATTATCCGGTGCATAAGTGAAACTTCTCAATTCATAAGATACGCCATTTTGATTTTCGTATCCTATTTCCTTCATTTTGTTCTCCGAATCGAATTCGCTGCAACCGCCAAAAACTCTATTCGGAGTGCGATTAAACGAACACGACGGTCCTGGATTGTAATTGGTCGTATCCGAGTTCTGGTTGGTTGTCGATGACGCGACTGGAGTCTGATTGGTCGACAACGGTCTGAATAGAGCGGAATGTGCCGTAGCGGTATCCAAATCGGCTTTTCTTGAAACGATGATACGTATATCGGTGTGAAGATAAAGTTTACCGGATTTTGACGTCATGAATCTGAAATTAAAGTATTTTTTAGCATTAAAAAAGACATATTATTTTTTTAATATAAACCAAATGACGAGACGAACATACAGTGCACCTGGTGGTAAGTGACACGTCTATTCATAACAGTTGCAGTGCCACTCAGAGTTTTAAATCGCAAAGATCTTACATAAATTGCCAAGTCCAATGTGCCTGTAATATCACCAGCGTCCTTACCCTGCTTGGCGGCAGAAACCCATTACCAGTTAGCTACCTTGGACTCGGTGGAGCGAAAAGAAAAGGGACTTATTAACAACAATTCTCTTGTGGAGTCGAAGCTACAAAATCTCGACCATCGCAGAGAAGTAGCCTGCTTGTCGGTTTTCTATCGGATACAATTCGGGGAGTGTGCGCTGGAACTTTTCTTCTTTAGTTCCACCCTCACCGTTCCTCTCCTTCGGTCGACTAGAAGGTCCGGAGCACTCCATCCTTATGTCGTTGATACACCACCTATTCGCACTAAGCGCTTTGCTTCTTCCTTTCTGATGCGTACGGCAAATGGAATGCTCTACTACTAATCTGTATTTCCCGAAAAGTACAATTTGGGGCTATTCAAGGTTAGAGTGAATAGGCTTTTTTTAGGCACACGCGTCCCATCGTTGCTTAACATCACGTGAGATTGTGGCCAAGCGTGTGTTTACTATATATTAAAAAAAACAGGTAAGGCGGCAGTACTTCCCTGGACGTACTCTTCCACCATGAGCTCTACTGCTAGTAAATTCTTTCATTTTGTAATTAATATTTGAAGATCGAGCTTGACCTACACACTGTATTTAATTTAGACAAACAATAACAATGAAATTTTTTAGTAACAGTACAATATCCTTGAGAAATCTGTAACACTCACCTAAGATGTATTAAATATCGCAACCATTTGTGCAGGTGGTGAGGTGATGGTGGTGGCGCGTTCGCAGGCATGTACAGTGTCCGCTGCCTCAAAAATGTCCTGGCGTTCGGTGGCATGCATGTCAGGTTGTACAACACAACGAACATCTTCACGAGGGTGCCGTGTGGGTTGAACAGGGACACCTGGATCGTGCCCGAATGGGCTACGCGGTAGCCGCCGGAGCCCAGGTTTATGTGACCCTGGAAACGGATACATTAATATTTTTTTGATGTATAAATAAAAATGTTAGTGTGTTAAATAAAAATCTTAGTTTATTCACCACTGCTAGGGTTGGCTGGAAGAGATCTCTTCTAGAGATAATCTCACTTTTGTATATGTCCTTTGTAACTTGTAATTTTCAATATCATTTATTTGTGCAATAAAGAATTATTTATGTAATAAAATTCAATATGTGAAACGATAATAAAAAAAAGTATTTCATTGATATATTGAAATGAAAAGACATGCCATTTGGCACTTTTTTTTTCAATTAACTTGTCAGAAAAATCTTGTTGAAATGATGCCGTGTAGCGTGATATAACTGGTGGAGCGCGTTCCCAAAATATCGTGACGACAGATAGTCGTGCAGTTTAAAGTGTCGTGGCTTGTGTATTTACATGAAGTTGTTCACATATAGTAAAACACGATCAACTGTCGTTCACGACTCTTTTGACGTTACGACGCGACTGTCGTGACAATGGGAAGAGCTAGAACGACAGTCGTCTGACGATAAACAAAACGTCACTGGAAACATGTGACGACAGCTACACTACAAATTTTCTAGGATGATCCCTGTGATACCTCACAAAATTCTACATAATATAACCTTGTAACGACGTCCACTAACTTACGTATTTTATAAACTATTTTTATAAGTCTCGCTTTTAAGTGAATAAAGTTTGTTTAAACAAATACCTAAAATTAAGTAAAAGTAACACCAAATTAGTGAGAAATGAGCAGAGAAACAATTTTTTCTTGAAAAATTAATATCTAAAAAATAATTATATTTACGACACCGTACAAAGTTACTTCATTAGACTGCATTTGCTAGAGATGAGGTATATCGATAAAGTTTTCGATGATTTAATGAATATATAGTGCGTAGAAGAGTTTAATCTATTAGGTAATTAGTTATATGATATTAATCGACATTATGAGTCTCTTTAGTAAAATATCAATTGAAATAGCATTTGAATTAGTTGGGTGTGTTATGCCTTCAATGCAATACAAAACATTTCATACATCTATACAACAGGCAGGAGGGGTCCATTATTTTGTTTCTCGCGATCAATATAATCACGTAGACGCACTACAAGTTACCGCACTTGACTGTTGAGGACAATCTTTTTGAGTCTTTTCAGCATGGCTAAACAACAACAGCCAAATCAAACTAAGCAAACTAAAAGTCAACAAATAAAAACAACAAAGACAAATAACTTTAGCAGAAAACACAACAGGGAACAATAAAATAATAATAATAATAATAATAATAAATTCTTTATTTAAACAGAAAAGTTACATGTCATTGTAGGCCCTGGCTTCCGAGCTAGGTTCAAAGACCTGTGTTACGGAAATCAGTGTCTTCTCATAATGAGTGACACTTATTTATTTCTGGCAGCAAAATACGTGGTCATACAATGTGTCAGCCATTGACTTACAATTATATGAACGTCGGGTCCGCGCTAAAAAGTGTCCGAACTTATAGTGCGTTAAAATCGTATACAGAGCGTCATTCACGCTTTAGTCTTCGTTTGTTCGGCTGACAACGAAGCAAGCAAAATTAGACAGTACTGCGATGACATTACAATTTAAATTCAACGTTTTAGCTTTTTCATATTCCTTTACATGTCACTACGTTTCAATAGGTTGACTTGGGACATTTTTTTCGTGGTTTGTGTATTAGACCCGTCGTCCATTTATTTGTAAGTGAATGGTGGCACTCGAAATAAAATAAATACTATTGACATTAAATACATACATGTCAAGATCAATATTAAAAGTATTCTTGAACAATTTCATAGATTTCAGGTCGATATAATTGGTTGTATATGCAATTATCCTTATTTTTCGCCTATCCCTGGCGATGACTATTAAATCATAAACAAAAACTGCATTTACATTTAATTTATTTCTTCTCCGGTATCTACTTCATAGAAATATCGGATAAAATAAATATTATGTATACACAATTCATGGGAATTAATTATTTTAAAAACCCAATTTTTTTAAACCGTAATATTATACAAGGCTGTATAAAAGAGAACATTTGCTTCAAAAATCAATTAAACCAAAAATCTATCAACTTTACCTCATCCCTATGACACAGTGTCACAGGGATCATCCTAAAAAAATTGTAGTATAATCGTAGCTTCAAACTGTCGTACAAACGACAAGGCGGTTGCCGTGAACCGAAAAATTGTCCTCACGATCTAGTGAGAACAACTAGACGACACGGTCCCAACAGACAGTCGTAATATACGATAAATAAAACGTTACGACATAATGGAAACCGAATTACGAATTACCGAGAATTACGTAAACTGTAACTCCTCCCGCACCGCGCAGCTAAAATCTGTTCCAATTCATTTTAAACGAAATGTAAACACTACGGTTTGGTTGAATTTCTAAAGTAATTACTCAGTACATCGAATAAGTAACACTTTCACGCATATTTCGAAGATTTTGCCCTGATATGTCATCACTTTTTCCACCAATATTCATTTGAATAACATCGTATTTGAAAAAGGGTAGTCAAAAAGTGAGGTTATTTTTTAATTAAAGACGTATGAATAGTCTATGGTTGGTACGAAAAAAAACATTCAGTTCATTCAATTAAAGTTTTTGTAATCGATTAGTAAATCGAAAATTTCAATCGCAATTTAAAATAAGAATTTCGGAAATTTTAAATAATATGCTTTTATGGGTTATGTATTGAAAACCGCTAGTACGACTCAACAAAACAAATTAATTAATGATTTGTGGTTGGCAGTAAAATTGGTACTAAACCGTCTAAGGTCGGATTAGTGACTTGTTTGTTTACTTTTTGTTTAAAATGGATTGAAACGAAGTATGCCTAAGGAATCGACTCAGTTAAGTGGTAGGTCTGTAGCTTTTATTAATAAATGTGTTTTTTTAGTTTTTTATAGTGACTTTTTAAGAAAAGTAGTAACAGTCATAACATTAATACGAGGAATAAAAATAAACTAGCTGTTCTTGATAGTATGTATACGCTTCTATAATAAGATATATAGAAGGGTGATATTCAAAATTGGCTATTGAAGAGGTATAAACTATAGTGAACCAAAAATTTTATTCAAAGGTTAGGTTACTACCAGTGTGACAAAAATTCGTGGCAGTGACCCGTTTAGCTCTTGCAGGTAATCTCGATCTAATATGTTTAAATTAAATATTGTAATGATAAATATATTCAAAGGTATATTTACAAAGAGCATTCCCTAGAGTTTCTTGCTCATTCTTCTCGGGGTTGTGCCTTACGAATGAGCAGTAGAGTTTAATTGATATGACGATTTAGTCAATTGCAACACTCATTGCAAGTGATTAAAAATGTAATCTCACACAGACATTAGGGAATTTTACAAATTTCTTAATAAACTTACCATATAAGGCGCATTGGTGCCACCCGGGGCGTAAAAGAACACAGTGACCGGCAGTCGTTTATGAGGGGGGCAGAAAGCCCCAGAAGCGCCTAGCTCAGCAGTAAATCCGTGTACGGTAGCTACTGGTTCCAAGCGGCCTTTAAGAGCTGATTCTTCGAAGCTCCCTGGAAGACATTTAATATGGAATTATGGATCCAAAAAATACTGTATTAGGTTCTTGAAACCGGAACAAAGAGCCAACGACACTTATAAGTTATTAATAAAAACACCAACTCACCAAGCAGTCCAGTGCTGGGTCCAATCCTCAACTTGGGTGTGGTTTCCTTCTTCATCGGTGGAGTCCTTGCACGAGGGGGCGCCGTCACGACCGGTGGAGAGGGGGTTGGTCGGGGAGCGGGAGATGCAGGTGAGGATGGACCGGCGGTCGGCGATGGAGGGGATATAGGGTGAAAAAGAGCACTGTAAAAGAGGATAATGTTTTTTTCAGCTTGACTGTGACAAATTACAAGTTTAGCAGATTTGTTTTAGTCTATTGGTATGTGAGTATAAGTTGGGGAGCTAATATTGGGTCTTGTAGGACACTACTAACACTTCGAGATAAACTGATTGTTAATTTAGCTAATGAGCACATCATAGATGCAATGTTTTACATTTTCTATTATATACGTTAAATTTTCTATTTTACTTTAGACTATTATATAAAATTTTTGATCTAATAAATTAATGATAACATTATCAAACGCTTTCAGCAAATCAAAAACTATTATATGGTCTCTCTAATGAAAAAATATTCAATATTCTACTTATTACCTCTTAATCCCAGATATTCCGTTAATCGAATCGTCAAAATCAAAACAGTTATTGCCTCTTCGTAATGGTGCAGGACTGGACGTCAGGGGTAACCCAGTCTTGGTATGAAACACCATAGAAGCTGCTGAGTCAAATCTCCAACGAAACCTATCCATTTCAGAAGGAGACGGTACTTGATTATCTTTATTTTCTGAATCTTTAGTCTTATCGGAATTGAGATCCAAAGCTCCTGATTTAATATTGTTGAGATCAGATTGCAAAGACTTATGATTTCGTTCATAGAATTTAAAGCAATTTTGATCGATTTCTTTAGGCGATTCCATATCACAACGATCAATAGTACCATAGTCACATTTCTCGTACATAACATAGTCATCTTCGTTAATAGAATATGTTTTTTGTCTCTTGGACTCTTTAAGGGCAGAGAACACAGTGTCATCGTTTTTAAGGTGGAGTATCTCCATATCTTTCTCAGTACTGTCTTTCTGAAATCTGTCAGATACAACCTTTTCAATCTTGTCCATGATAGGTAAAAAGCGCCTCAACTTGGGCCGTTTGATCAACTCATTGTTATTACTAAAGCTATCGTCATCTAAACTAGATTTATCACACTTTAAATTACTACTAAGATTATCACATTTGAGCTTTTTATAAGATTTATCCTCGTCTTCAAGCTTCCGCCGGACGCCGTTCTCTGATTCTTTGTCCAAAGACGCAAGGTTGTAATTGCCTTCGGACCTGACCATTCTACACTCGTCACACTTCATGTTTATCTTAGTGCCGCACTGGCAAGCGAGATCCTCCGTTTGAGTGGATACAGATACAGTTTTCTTGAACTCCGCTGGTGGTATACTAACGGAATCAACGAATGGAGACCGGGTCTCTACTCTACTTGCCGGCAAAGTCAAATAAGTCTGGTTCCTATAGCAGCCTATAGCTCTGAACCTGTCAAATCTAGCTGCCTGCAATATTGGTATCGAAGTGTGAGTCTTCTCTGTCTTGTGCAAGCCATCTCCCTCTGAAGAGGTGCTATCACAGAGTTTTTTCAACTTAATCTCTTTTCGCAACCGTCTTTTGTATTTAGCTATCTCTTTCAACCTTCGTTCGTCTAACTTCTTCGGTTCTTGACTTAAGCTAATGGAAGATCTGTTGCCGTCCGATTCCTCATCACAGTTACATTTATGCTTCCCATTCTCACTGCATGTTGTATGCATTCTATCGTCAACTATGTCCTTCTTTTCCTCTGTAGAATAGATATATTCTGTAGACCCTGGATTAGAAATTATGGACAAACGTCGACTTGTACTGCAATGGGAGTTGGTGTTAATCGTACCAGAGAATTCGTACTTGTTAGCTAAAGTGAGATCATTAAGTTTTCCGACCAATTCTTCGTGGACATTGACTGCGATTTCTTTACTCGCTCTACGTTTTTGACAAGTGCATTTGACAGCTGGTATGTCGTCAATCCTTGGTAAACTTTCGAGCAGAACTTTAAGATAGGTGTTATTGCCAATGTCAGTGACAGGAAAAGTATGGTCGGTAGGTGGTCTAGTGAATTCGGCCATCTTGTAACTCTCGCCTGGTATCTTTATGGAGTAGACGATGTTGAGATTTCGTTCTTCGTTTGCTGGATCGGTCTCATCACAATTGGATTCGAGTTTCTTGTAGTTACATGTTTCGCGGCTTAGCTTCCTCCTGGAAAATAGAGTCCATGCTTAAATATATTCGATTCTAGTAAAATCCCCTAAAAGTAAATTCCCTGTTCTATACGTATCAAAATATGGAAATTCGCTCACGCAAATCCAATATAGGAATGAGAGGTCTAAATTGGTCCTTTCAGGAATCGAGGATGCCGAGAGTTACTCATAAAACATTAGTTCTAATAACAGCGAAATATAACGTCACGATCTAGACCCTAGTCTGACATACTATAACGGGATATTGTTCCAGACGGTCTGATATTGCTGCGGGCTTGGGATACGTCCTTGAAACTGCTGTCAAACTTAATACAGTCCATAACAGATCTGTCTAGTGTAAGACTTCGGTCGGATAGTTTATTTTTTAAAATAATAGTATTATACCTGCGCTCAGCGCGATCCTCTGTCTTTATAAGCCGAGTCAGCCAAGCCGACAACTGGGAGAAGTGAAGCTGGGACCTGACCGCGTTCAGGAGCCATTGCGACGTTATGAATGCCGGGGTGTCGTGGGGCCTGCAAGAACACACATATTTTGCGTCATCTATTAAACTGAATTAATAGTAAATCATTACGAACTTCTAATTTGCAATTGAAGAAATTTACAATGACAAAACATTGCTGAATGAGACATTTTAAACTTTAATAATCGTTTATCGCACCTTGATATACGGTAAGCCGTTATTTATCACGCTGCTCAAATACACAATGGTTATAATTAGATAATCTTAGCACATCGAGTATATAACCAGAAATAGAGACGAAATGTCATTTAATTCGTTTGAAAACTATTCTGCCATATCATTACTGTGACAACTGCGCTCCGATTGGCTAGCCCGAGTTCGAAACAATTGACGGGTGTCGTCAACTGTTTCACTTCAAATCGACCAGTTAACTTGAGCTTTACTATAATGGACGAAAATTGCAAAATTACATATTTAATTACCGATTAAACTTGATTCCGTTTGTTTTGTAATTCGATGTTTTGCTGTTTTTCCGACACCACCGAATAGAACAGCACGGCATTGTTAGAGATATTATCTTTATTATAATAAATACAGAATATTTTTTGGAATATACGGAGACGTACACACCGGTCAGTAGTTGGCCTGTCTATATTTCAGTGCAAACGGGAAATTGATATTCATAAAAGCTGTATCGCTAATGTGTTACCAGGAATATATGGCCCTTATTTCGTCTCTATTTCTGATTATATACTCGATGTCTTAGCACGATCAACTCATGAATCTCATTCATGGCAGCACGAGTCTCCTAGTTGGGGACTTCACACATCTTAAAAATAAAAAACTAAAAATAATAAGACCTTTATTTATCCACAAAACGTAGGAAACACAATAGGTACTTAAAAACCTACAATAAAAAATACAATTGAGTAATGTGGACAAAAAGGTTAAAGACTCAGCTTTGCTGATTTTCAATCTTCACCTGTAGCTTGCTGTTCGCTTGCTGCACCAAGCCAAAATGCCGTAATATATAAGCCAATATAATAAATAATACCCTCGAAAACTCAGTGTTGCATGAATTTGTAAAAGAACTTACTTGTTGACAATAGGTCGCATGGTCCACCGTTCGAGCAGCAACCCCTTCTGCTGAGTATGTAATTTGTCGTACGTGGCTTCTTCTTCCACTTTGCTCAAAGATGTAAAGCATTCTTTGCAATCAGGGGCTAGCAGTACCTGAAATTTTCATAAAGAAGGCTCGAGTATTTTCTTCATAATTTATTATGATCTATATTCGGAGAGACAATTATTTTTACATGGCAAACATAAAGACGCTATGGATGATGGCGGACCATCCACAAAAGTTCAGAGTGCAAGGGACAAAATTACAACAGTTTTAGTCTTCAGCGTTGTTGATAAAACTTTTCCACGTTCATTTAATTCACGAATATTTACTATCTCTGAAAATAAGACAAGCAAAACAATTAGTAGTACAGCAGTCGTCTGAATTCCATTTTAGAGGCTTACCTCAAATAAAACAATTACATACTTCAGTCCAGAATCGCGTGAATACCTATCCCTACCATTTTCATATTACCTACAGATCCTCTGTCTTCCAGATGCCAGTGGGATTTCTGACTTTGACATTTTGCTGCATTACAGCTTCCCAAGCCAGCCGTACGCAAATCCCATTTCTGATCTCAGCTCTATCCGATATTTCAATCAGCCAAATCATAGCATTTGCAACCCCGAAATAAGCAAAACTAAAGAACTACCACAAAATCTGTATAAAAAAGTCGTTTGCATACATTGTGTCGAAACTATCCCCGCGTATATCCTATCCTGAAATACCTCGATGCAAACGGGGATGTGGTCAGTCCAGAGCGCGTTCACGTGGTTGCTCAGTTGTGCTTCCAGCCCTATTGGAGGTTCTGGTTTGGGCTGGGTATAGATCTGAAACAAGAACGTTGCAATATTTACTTGATGTCTTACGTGAAATATAGCTTAAAGAGTGATATGCGATTCAAGGAACGTGCTATGCTGAAGCCCGCCTAGACAATTGCGTATTTTGTCCTAACAATGACTGTACGCCCTTAATGACTGTACGCCCTTAATGACTGTACGTCCTTAGCTTTAGGTACCACGCCGCGCCCCGCATATTGTTGCAACATTGACGGAACGGCAACAAGAACGCTAAGGACGACTTTGATGTTGAAACAATTTAAATTTACTTATTACGAACGAACGTTTCTATGATGGTCGTGAATTGAGGCATGTACGGCTGTTTATCTTCACGTAAACGGGATCAAGAGAGGAATTTCTTATGTTAAAGAAACTTTTTATTAGATTTCGAATTTTCAATATAATGCCATTTCATAACGGATTATTTAGAGTTTTTATGTATATAAAAGAAAATATTTTAGAGTAAGTAATTTGCAGTGGTGTTGTTCACTTATAATTAGAGATGCGCTGAGTACAAGTATTACCGAATAACCGAGTACCGAATATTACTCGGTTTAACATTTGCCGAGCCGAGTACTCGGCCGAGTTACTCGGTTCATTACAACCGGACCGCGATGATCCTAAAAGTTCCAATGCTCTAAAATTAGACCGATAAGTCAATGAGAGTTTATTGTCGCGAGAGCAGAGTCCTTTCCAATGGTGGGCAGGGCATAAAACAGATATTCAAAACTGGCACAGTTAGCACATGCGGTTATTTTCCGAAGCGGATAATGTGTATGAAGAAAAAAGTATCAGACTATTTATTACTTGAACGCGCAGAAACCCTTGTATTCCTACATCATAACTTGCCTTTGTTAAATTTTAAATATTAATAATGTAAACTTTCCTTTGAAATTACTAAATTGCTACAAATTGTTACAATTGTCTAGAATTTCTACTAACAAATCTCTTTTGATTATTTAAAATATATTGTTGGTTTTACTTTATGTCTATAGCTGTAACGCTTTATTTTAACCGAGTACTCTTCTCATGAACCGAGTTATTCGGCCGAGTGCGAGTAGTAAAAAAACTGACGAGTACACCGAGTACCGATTAGCAAGCGAGTACTCGGCTCGTCTCTGCTTATAACGTTGTCTTTTAAATTTGTTTAAGCTGCTTGTGAAATAAACTTGTGTTTAATAAATAAAATCATTAATTCTTTGCAACTTTTTTATATGAGAACGAAATAATGCGATTCCGAATTTCCATATCACAAAAAACATCCAAAAATATTACAGTCCATTTAAAACTTTATAAGTTATTGTTTTTATATGAACACAACAGGATGATGACGAACCACAACTATTTCCGGCATCGGTTAGGGAACTTACTAGCCGAACAGGAGAAGGAATTTGGCAAGGGCTTGTTACCGCCAATGTGTTCGTGGTTCTCCCGTGAAAGGTAAAACAATTTCGCCATTAATGAGCAATCTACCGCACCATCGACTTACACCAGGTCCATTCAAGGACGTAGGTGTAGATTACGCGGGACCAATAATGTCAGCTAGTCGAAAGTGTTACAGTTTAGTAAAGTATACATTTCTTTGTTTACATGCTTTACAAGTAAAGCTATTCATTTAGAATTGGTAACAGATCTAACGAGTACCAATTATTTACTAACTCTACGTAGATTTATATCTCGTAGAGGCAAACGTTCCGACATATTTTCCGATAACGGAACTTCATTTGTCGGTGTTTACAACGACTTATCTTTTTAGATCTTTGCTCTTTAAAACTCTGTGTGGTACTGCACATGCAATGGACGCACCAGGCGCCCGGCTTGCCCGTCCCGTCAATTAGTACAATTTCTTTACGATATCAAGTGAGCGACACGCTTACCCGTAACATTTGCAGAACCAATCAGAGCTTTAAATGTGAAATACACTGCCACTGCCGTTATTCTGTGGCATAAAATTGACATTACTGCGTTCCGGTTTGAAGAGGGCACAGAACTTCTGGCGTTAATTGATTTTAGATATTCTATGTACTCCGTATACGTGTGCATGTGGCATACGTTTTTAAAGCCTTGTGTAAGCCCGAGCGACACCAACCTCCACGTCCTACTGCCGAAGCAGGACTAAAGCGGACGGTGTGCGAGTTCAAGTATTTCCTTCGTATTATTAAAACAAATACACATTTCGAAAATGTACGGACTATACGTTATAGAAAAGGTGTAGTTTTATTATTATTCAAAAACTGATGACCTTCCGTGAAGTATTTACGCCGTACTAAGGGTTAATTTTGTTTTTCAGACATAACTTCGGATTTTTTTCTTACGACACGACTACAATTAATCGTGTTTCCAAAGAACATGTAGAGTGGATCTTTAAATATCTTAAACATTCATTTCATAAATAAAACAGCAAAGGATCAAATGAAAGCAATCACTCGGCGCAATCTTAAAGATCGGTGACACTAAAGGCACGTGGAGCTTGTCAACTATATGTCTCAGGGCGACGGGCGCACTACCAGCGACCCTTAGATCTTTGCGATTAACGCTGTAAGTGGCAGTGGAACAGGCATGGGTAAAAAAGCCGTCACTTGATACCATAAAAATACTTTGGACTTACTTGGCTGGTGCTTGGCTTAGCATTAGCGGCGAGCAATTTAGCAGCAAGCAGACGGTCGTGAGGATCGCGCGGTGAGGGCGAGCGGGCGCGGATTATCAGGCGACCCAGCTCCAAAAGGAGGTTGGGGCCCGTCGCCGGCGCAGGCACCAGGGTCTCGCAACTGTGCATCTGGAATAGACGAAATTGAGAGCTTAGAATCGTTACTCCATAAAACAACATGTGTGCAATTATTGAATGTCACAATGCTTCACCAGTCCCAGTCAATCGCCAGCTGGGTGAAAGTGGATTTTTTCTAAGTGTACCTTTGTTTAATAATTATATCAAGCTAGTTTTTCACAACAAAATAAAACCTGACATTCAATAAAAATATAAATGTAATTACTTAGGTACAGCTAATAGCGACATCTGTAAAGGTACCTAACTGGGTGACGAAATACTTTCACAAATTACTCATAGATGGCGCTACGGCAAAAAAGTCGTTAAATGTCAAAACGAAGATCTGCAACAAGCACACGGAAAAATTCGTGAGGTCCGTTGGTTCGTTCCGTGGCTTAGTTGGCATAGTGTCTGCCACTGTCTGTTGGTTCGAGTCCAGCCAGATCGAAATGAATTTTTCATAAGTGATTTTTGTTAAATAATGTATACATTTGGCCAACAATAAAGAGGTCAAGCAACTGGCTGTGAGGAGTGAAGGTGACTATACCGACAAAAGCCTGGCTCTTAAATAGGATGGATAGTCGTAGTACTGGGAATATCCCAGTTTAAGACCAAGTCCCTTGCACGGTTATGTGGCACATTATTATTAACGGACTTTAAAAAAAGAAGAGCGTCCCTAATTCGACTGTATTTTTTTAACCGATTTCGACATTCTTTTTTTGTTGCAAAAGACGGTCGTTAGTAGTGGTCCCTAACAAATTTGAACAAAATATTCCACCTATAAAGAGTTTATTTGATTTTGAATAGATGTAATTCCCCAAAGTTTTGAGGTTGGATCTAAAAAAAAAAAAAGTTATACTTTATATTATTATTTAACACAACATAGCTGTTATCGCATCAATCCAAGCTCTATGGTTTCCATAAATAAAACCCTTCCAGTCACCTACTTAGCCCGCCCGAAACCGTCTCCATTCATGTTCGCAGTTGCCAACACCCGGTTACAAAAATAAAGGCGTTTCACAAACACAGTTAACATATAACCGCGGAGCCGCTAATCTAAATTTTAGGTTTAGTTTTAAGTTTTTTTTTATATAAGATCGTTTTGTCCCACTGCTGGGCATAGGCCTCCCTTCTCTTTTCCCATTGTTCTCGATCTTGGAACAACATCGGGCAAGTCCTTTGAAAAGGGTCGTATTCCAGAACTCTACTCAATGCTCAAGTCAGGACTTGAGTATGGTTTAAAGCACTCGAAATCATACTCAAGTCCCTGCCATTACGGTCGTATTTCCAGTGCTTGTGTTTCCAGTGCAATCCTGACTTGAACATTGAGTAGAGTTCTAGAATACGACCCTAAGAGTCGTATTTTAGAACTCTACTCAATGCTCAAGTCAGGACTTGAGTATGATTCAAAGCACTAGAAATTATACTCTAGTCCTTGCCATTAGGATCGTAATTCCAATGCTTGAAATCATACTCAACTCTGCTCAAATCGTAACTTGAGCATTGAGTACAGTTCTGGAATACGACCCTAAGTCATGTCATGTAACGTGAGCATTACAGCATTGCAATTTGCAACTTAGTCTGTCTGTTTACGTTGAAGTTTATTTATGTATATATATCGCACATGACAACTAACATAGTATTATTTCAAAATAGCTTTAAGTTATATTAATATTACCCATTTAGTTTCAAAGCGACAATGTCGTCCTATCACTTTGATTACTAAATCGTATATGAATGACACATCAATATAGCGAAATTTTGGAGATAAATTATTAATATAACGTAATTTTGAGATAAAATATAACATGATGCAGTTTTTGCGATAATACTATGTTAGTTGTCAAGTGCGATATGTAGTATATGTATGTAGTATATGTAGAGTGTAAACAAATACCTATATCGACACATCCGAAGAAGTGCGATGTGATTATATAGCGAAAAAACAATAAATACGTTACGAAACGTAAAGGTGTTTTGAGAATTTATATATCTTATTTCGTTTCGGAAATATAATATCGAACAACACTCGATCTGACATCCACAGCGAAGAAGAACGGCCGAAACGTACTATGTACTGAGAACAAGTAGCCTTACACATAGAATTTCATAACATAATAAAAAATATTTTAAAAATACACTCTACTCTAAATTAGTCTAAATACTCTACTACACACAGACGTATTCATTTATATTATAATAACTTTATAATAACTTTGACTGCCTCCGTGGCCGAACGGTTGCCATTGACTGCCACGCAGAGGTCCCAGGTTCGATTCCCGGGCCGGGAGAAATGTTTGTATGGCTTACATTTATTTCTCTCGTGAATTTGGGTGCAATTTGTGGTTGTCTATGTGTGTGTCCATGGCACCCGCGACACAGGGTTTCCCTAGTGCGGGGCTATGTTGAGTGTGTGCGTTATTTATTTATTATTATTATTTATAGATCTTTGTTCTACGGGTGAGTCGATATATGCAGGTATTTAATATTATGGTTACATATTATTTCATAATATGATAGTCTAAGTTTTTAATCATGCATTTAAATTTTTATCACTGGCACACTACTTCTCTCTCTGCCTCAAAAGTTGTCTGGAAGATACCGCTCTCAGCGATAAGGCCGCCTTTGCCTACATTAAAATTTAAGTTGTCTACTTTTGTTTTTTTTCGCGTGTGAGCAATCTATCTATTTACAGCGTTCCAGTTTTGAAGAGGTGAAATTACAGGCGCATGAGCGCAATGGCGATAACACAAAGGTCTTTGCGATTTAAAGCTCCGAATGGCACTGCAACTGTTATGGACAGGCGTGTCGCTTACCAGCAGCCGCACTACTTGTTCGTCCCTTCACTTGGTACCATAAAAAAACAAAGTTCTAACAATAAGTGGATTCAACTCTTTCTTGAAGCAATAGAGCTAACCTGAATGTGGGAAGACAGCTCTACAACTACGCTGCAGAAAAAAATAGTCTTTTTTTATAATTACTAATACAAAGAACTTAGAAAAAATCCTTCGAACCGACGTCTCCAAGCAAAATCTTTTTGAAATTCAGAAATAACTGTGATCGATGATTGCGGGTTTCTTTACTAAACCAATTATTTCAGTATTTCTTTGTTTTTACTCTAAAAACTGCAAGTTTAAAGTGTTCTTTGTTTAACAGAAGCAAACTGCAGGGCGTTCCCGGAAATCGGTTAGTAGGTCAAACCAAGGGCGCGATGGCCGTGACACGGCGCTCCCTGCAGTGCCCTCAGTTAGGTACTATAGGAGGGATGAGTAACAGAGAGAGAGGTAAAATTTTCTTTACGGTCTCATTTCAAACTCTGATAAGTTATATTCCCATGTTTAGTTGACGTTTTAGCATAACATCACCAAAAACTGCTCTTTGTGCTTATTACGCTTGTGTAGCCTCTAGTTTGCGATATGGATTACTAATTTGGGGAAATGTTGCTGCAACACATACTATGCCACTATTTAAAACCCAAAAGAAATGTGTCAGGGCCATGTTTGGTGTGGGCCAGCGAAAGTGTTGTGTACTTTACTTTAGGAAACTGGAGATATTAACCCTACCATCGATGTATATTTACGAGGCCTGTGTTTATGTGAAACAAGAAATATAACATAAAGAAATATAACTAAAAAAATCTACCTCAATAATCTCAGTACAGAGTACTAAAAAAAACCGACCTCAAAATACGTGGAAATATGTCTATTTGCTAAGTTTTATGGAAATATCCCCTACTTCGCCACTATACAGGACTTGACACTGGAGATAATAAAAATAGGTTCTCACTACGATACTACACAAAGTATATTGAGAGAAAAACGCCTTGAATTGGAGAAATAGCAAAATCAACCATTAAAGTAATTGCTCCTAAATTAAAGTTAGGCGCTATTTATAAAAATGAATCTTCATGCGTGAACAGCCACCCTTAGAGGTGGATGATTGTCTTCAAAATCAAATGAGACCACTATGGAAGTACCCCCTTTCCAACAAAAAAAGAATCATGAAAATCGGTTTACAAATACCGGAGTTATCGCGTAACATACATACAAAAAAAAAAAAAAAGAAAAAAAAAAAGAACATACAGTCGAATTGAGAACCTCCTTCTTTTTTGAAGTCGGTTAAAAATTAGTGGAATTACATCTATTTGCAAAGTTTTATTGAAATCGGTTACCGGAAAGTGCGCGAAAACGGATTCATCCCCTACTTTGCCACCCATATTGTCTTCAAATTTAAATGGGACTACTACTGAGCAACTGAACAAAAAAAAAGAATCATCCAAATCGGATCATAAATGCTGGGGTTATCGCATAACCTACAAAACAAACCTACAGACGAATTGAGAACCTCCTAATTTGGAATTTTACAGGAAAACGATGTTGGTATGAGCACCCAAATTATTTAATAAATTACCGGATGAAATTGTAAACAATTTAAAATGAAATTGCATGTTTTGTTAGTTATTGAACGCTACTACAATATTGATGGTTTTTTGCTTGACAACATGAAATGTAAAATTTAACTACTGTATATAGATTTAAACACGGAAATATTGTTTCATTTCCTACTGTATATTTTTTACTTCTTTTTTTCTGGTTAAATTCCAATTGTTATTGTTTTTGTTTAAAAAAATTATTGAGTTATTATTATTCACATTCAGAGAACATTAACTGTTAAAAAAAGTATGTAATAATAAATGCTTTAAAAATTACGTAGTTTTCCATTATTTTTCGGCATTTTCACGAAGAAACATAAATAAAACAAGCTGAGTCACGTTGTGAATTCGGAATTATAGTTTAGTGTCAACTGTTAGTATCGCCAAGGAGTGTATAGATGTCGCTGTTATAATTTTAAGAAATAAACATCGCGTATTTTTATTTAACGACAATCGATTTCCTATGTGCTATTAAATAAAACAATAAACAAAACGTTTAAGAGATTTATGTAAATAAATAAGTTCAACTTGACTTTTAATCATTACAAATCAATATGAGTCCGAGTCTGAGTCCGAGTAA